ACTTGTGGCCTTTTCCTCGCCCCTCGGTTAAGTGGGATATTACGTGCAAGTGCCAGTGTGATTACTAATCAGTGATTCGTATTCCGTGTTCATTGCGTTTTACTAATACTATTACTACAATTAATGCAATAGTGCATTACGTGCTATTGCCGACCACCGACCCCTCGTTTTCCACAATTTATAGGTAGCCAAACCACACGGACTGCACAAATTTCGCATGCTGATTAGATAACTCATTACTGTAAGAGGAAACCGAACGGAATTGGATTTTGACTTTGATAAACTGGTTTATCTCATAAATGTCTCCCTCGGGGTGCGCAGTGCTATTACCCCCAGTCCGTTTTTTTTTTCATTTTACTTCCTTTTATTGAATATACAAAGATACAACTTTCAGGAAGGGAGAAGCGGCCAATCAAAGGGCTGCCATATAATAAACAAGTAGGGAAAGTCAGGCGGTGTTGGTGGGATTCGAACACTCGTCCTCCGGGGTGATAATTGGTGACGTTACCACCGGGCCACCACCGGTTGGTTAGAACTGCCTATATTACACAGTTTACCGTATTCATCTGGTCTTATTGACTATTTATTCACGTGATATCATTGATCATGACAGACATTTGCCAATGCTCTTCCAGATCGGCTGTCCGTAAACCATCTCAACATAATTTTAGGCCACCGTTATTCGATCGATGCATTCTCACTTCACATTCAAAGAATTGTAAACCCGTTTCTGATCCACACCCAATCTTGTGTGTTCTGATTTCCTGTATTCTGTAGCGGACCCACGACCATACTGTATAATCGGGTTGCAATTAGAATTAGGTTATCAGTATATGGCCTTCCAGCACCTTTGCGGTCAAACAAGGATTATGCACACGTTTTCAGTTTCCTGAATCCTCTGGCACCCAGGCAAAGGGAAAGACAGGTTTCACCTAGAAGCTTTTCACACGGTTAGAGTAACTTGTTTTATTAGTTAGTTAAGCGGAAAGAACGAATAGGACAGAAATTAAAGACATAACCCCCTGACTGTTATCACCGAATGTTTATGTCAGGTCAGAACAAAATCTATCCACACTTTGTCAGGCACTCTCTCACCAAAGTTGTCAAACAGTCGTGCCGGGCGTGAGTTATTATGGATCAGCTGGGTAGTGAATAAATAAAAGTCACGAAGTAGGTTCTTCTAAACGCAATTTTACACCGGTTTTCATATGATCCCATATGAGAGTGTCCATTCCGTTTGAAAATTCCAGCCAAAATGAAAGAACGATCTAAATAATCATTGCCGTTGTATTTGTATGAATGGAAAAAGTATATCTATTATCCCAAAATGAAGTTGTCACATCAATGATGCGAGCACTGATTCGTTGTAACGATTCAAATAAGGTAATCAGTTACAGAAACGCTGCCTGACCTCAAATGTATCAAAACCTTAGTCGGCAAATATTCTGAATTATAATCCTTTTTGTCAGCTTTCACAGTTGACCTTGTTGAAAGTGCTCAAGAAGGCAGGAAGAACCCATGGTGTATTCGAGGTTCGTTCAGCAGAGTAATTCAGAAATTTTCGAGATTTGACAAGATAACTATGTCTTTATCATTCAGAAGACACATCGTAATAGAAACGAGATTTTCGGCAGACTGCTTTACCTAAAAATTTGACCGATACGGTGACCTGTGCTGGCTTTTAAAACCCTGCAAAATCCTTAGGGAGTTCGATTATTTGGATTTTTTTCCAACAAATAAATGAATAATTAATTTTAATCAGAAGGAATGAACAAAGAAACAGAAATAACCTCTAGGTGACAAATAAAAATATGATTCGGAATTTAATTTAGTTTGATTGTAAACGAAACAATCTCGTTTACTATCTTTTCCAGCCCCCCCCCCCGAAGCCTGTATTAATTGATTTTGAACGGACTATTTATTTTCATGGTTTGATACCATAATCAATCACTAGTGTTTCATACGACCTTAAACTCCATGATCCCACTTGCCGCTGACCCCCAAACAGTGTACATTTGCTTTTATACAAACCACGAAAAACGAGTCAAGTAATCAAATTTTCAACTAACTGTGATTGTACAGGATTGGAAATGAATTCATCGAAAAGATATCTTCGCCTCCATTGTGTGATCTTAATGAAATATTCCTGAAATCTTATTACAACATTTGTTCTATCCGAGCCCACACTCCAGTTTTGGTATAGTTAAGGTTCCTTGCCTGACGGTCTTAGGTTCGCTGCACGCGGCAAGCTGATCGATCGATCTCGGGAGAGATTTTCCACCGTTCCAGACATTCGTTTTTATGCCATGCATATTGACTTTATTGACATCCGTATAGTATGTTCATGGATGCCAAATCGATGTGTAATCGACGTTGCACTTCCGGCTCGAGGATTGGATCAATGGAACCCACCTTGGATGCAATCTATCCGGCCATCAATGTCATGTTGCAGATTTGAATGTTGTCGCGTGAGAACTATCAAACTGACGAGGGGTTGCTTGATTCCGGGCTTTATCAGACGACCACTTGATTCTGTGACCGTTAACCGCTGATCAAGATCAGTTTTGTGAGAATAGTCGATCCGTAAGACAATTCAAAAGTCTGATTGGAGTGAAAGGAGAATGATTGATTTGAACTGACTATCCTTCGGACTTCACCTTCACGTGGGCTTATACAAGTTATATAGATACCAATAAACGATTTAAACATCCGACAAGAGGTAATGCCATTCTGGAAAATGTGAATACTAAACTTTCCGATCACGACTCTCTTTGTTAGAAGGCCCCGTTTTCTACTAGTGATTATCGGCTTCTACTTAAACCTAAAATTTACCCATCTTGCGCATTCATTCAGTTTAGGTATATTATGGTTACGCACCATGATCTTTCACTGATAACAGTGCTCTCCTCAATCAGCCTCTGTATATAACTGCAACGTAGGACTATTTATTCGAGGGTAAGCTCATTTCCTCCCTTTGAAGTTGTCTATAAATCCCACAATTTGGTTGCGGTAGTTCTACAAAATAATACTGCNTTTGCTCGACAACTACTGAGGCATGAACGGAAGACTAGCTTGTAAAGGTTACCGCCTCTTCTATGATCAACGTAAAATTTGAAGCTAGACAGCGCTAACATCGATCAGTTGAACACTTTATTTTACTCCATACTCTCCAGCTTTGATGCACCGCCAGCCTTTATACCGTAAGGCTATTTCGATTTGCAAACCATCACTACAGGAGAAAATTTCAGGCTTCCTTAATCCTCCAAGCCAAAGTCTGCAGTTGGCGCTGATGGTCTATCTTCAACATTTTTCACTATGGTGCTGACCCATCAACTTAAGTGAAGTTAGTAATTATCAATAAACCCGTTGTTCAAACAGCCAGTCAACTTGATAAAAACAAGCTGGTTTTTAGTGCATCATGGCAACGTATGATAATTTACAGGCTATAGGTTACGAAGGAAAAGTAAAATGAACTAGTTTGGCAGTCGTAATTATTTTCAGCGACGACTGGGTAACCCGAATTCTTCAAGTTATTTATTCGGGTGTTTCTTGACGGCTTCCTTGTCAGCAATCTGGCTATGGGAATTTGAGTGCTTGCACGAATTGTCTTTGAGCACACACACAAAGGGGTGTGTGAAGACGGATGCTGGCCACTTCCCTTTAAAGTCGTAAACCACAATTTGAAGGTGGTCATATATACTGTGTTGTAATGACATGACTAAAATACACCGATATTCGTTGACCTCTGCTCTATTCTAAAGTCATGGCAATCGGCTAATAATGAATATTTCCTATAAAGGTGCTCTCCAACATTTGATGTAAACATTTCTGCCCCATTTATTTCTGTCGCACAATACCCATTCGTCAGAATCCTTTTCAGATAGCTCAAAAACTGCTTTACTCTGTATCATCTGTCGGTCAGTTTACCATCAAGTTTCGGCGGAGTTTAGTGATTATTGTCTTGCATTTGACTGGGCTCTTCACTACTTCATCCGGCACGAACCGGAGCTGATTCTCTCTGCGGTGTTAGGCTATCATAATGACAGTCGAGCGCACAAAGCTGGTTTTCCAAGTTGCTTTATTATTCACCTACTACCTGTTGCATCACCTGCCGAAAAGCACGCGGCCTGAAATCCGTTCTTTTCTGGTGTGACGGTCAGAGGCTTTAGACCTCCTCCGAAATGTTATAGCGGAGAACAAAGTCATTTACGTTCAGTGGGCGACACGAACGTTGCATTGGGACTATTAGACCAACATGAGTCCAAAATTGACAACTCTGGTTATGCAAAATCCCTTGATGTCCCGCTAGCGCTGCGAAATCATCTTTCATCACCTTACCGTACCGAAACGATAAGTGCTTCTACGTGCGATATCTAAACAGGCTCCATCTCAGCAGTAGACACCGCTGTTGAAAGCGACACGAACCTCACAATAGACCGCTGACCAATAAGTCTACGGATCAAGCTCCACGTGCACACCAGTTCGATCAACTAACCGAAACATTCAGCGTGTCCCAGCTTCCAGGTCAAGGTGATGCAAGCAAGTCAGGTGTCCATAGTAATCCAGCGATGCATTTCACCATGATGCCTTATTGCGGTTGTAAATTACTAATCGTTTCTCGGACGCTTGGTATGAAACAATTCGAAAACAACTATCCCAAGGAGTTTGACCCGGGTATTACAACTACTCACGTAGAGACTGTGGTGGCAGATTGTGACCTTACGCACATCACAAGAGCACAGAAGTGATAAAATGAACCCATAGGCGAGGAGATTTAAGCATTTGGGCAACGGTCGCCAACTACATTCGATTAGTTGCCTAACTAAATCGCAAGACCGCAACCACGGAAACGACTATCTAACGGGTCAAGGTTATGAGGAACCCACCGCCAAATACGTACGTGGTCTCTGATAACATAACACGAATATCAACTCAGGTAGGTGTTCATTTTGAATGCAGTAAAACAAAACGAATAATTACAAAGAATAATCAGGGATAGTTTAATGCGCCAGGATCGCCGCGAGCTCGTTCAAATCCAGCTTTCCGTCCTGGTTCTTATCATTCGCCTTGATGAAGGCCTCAACCTTGGCCTTGTCCAAGGTGCATTTTTCGGTGCTGAGGAAGGAATGCAACTCCTCCACTGAGACCTTCATGTCGCCATTTTTGTCAAGCACCTTCAACAATTCCTTAACTTCTGCTAGGCTGAAATCAACGAAAGCATAACCCGAGTTACAGCTTACAGCAACCTCATCAACAATCGTAAAGCGACATCGTGCAATCTCATGGATCACTCACCTCGGCATTTTGCGGATAGGCTGAAGAGATTTGCAAAAGTCTCACGGCGGATCTAAAGCGTAGGAACGAAAGGAAAAAAGGAAGTCAGCCAAAATGAATCGACAGAAGCACATCGAAGCAAGACAATGACCGGCAGAACACAACACGTACCGATGGACGTTCGGTCCGCTACTCGATGGGTTCTAAACTTATAGGTTACGAACCCAAGGTCGAATAAAAATAATCCAATCACATGCAAGGGGACAGATACAAACCAGTGAATCAAATACGGTTCAGTGATTTGATAAAAAGTGCCTCATTGGTCATTCGTGAGGGGTTCCGAATCTTGGCCGCCCAAGTGATAGGCACATGATTGGCCAAAATTAAGTTCGCTTGTATGGGCAGGGGGGAATGTACCGTGGTCCGAATGCAGGCATTAGTTGTGCCTCACGTGGTCCCGTTAATAAACCAGGACAGCGCAGTTCCGCGCATTTCAGCAACCGCCCACGTGGTTTGCACCTGTCTGGAGTTGGTGTGCCTTTGTAGAGACCGAATGCCACTGAGTGCAATCCCATTCGTCAATGCTCGACTCGGAGGACACGTTTGTGAATCACGGTGACAAGAACGCTGTGTTTTCCTTAGCAGTACCACGCTACTCGGGGAGACCCATGGCGGGTCTTTGTTCCGTTATCGTAGTCAGGTCAGGTACTAAGACAACGTAATGGCATTACTTATTACTGCCAATTTATCAGTAGAATATCCACCGCGCGCTAAAATTATCGGACTAGAAAATTTACCAAACCAGAGTAACAATGGTCGTTTTTATGCAGTGAAGATATAGCAACTGAGAAAAAGTTACTACACTAAAGTCCTAACTACGAATGCATCCAATTAAGGTGGGACCACAACATAGAATCGGTGCCATAACAGTTCTTTCTTATCCGTTAGGTAGACCATCTCCCTTTTGCTACAGAATGGCAATATTTAAACTCTGAATTCTCCTGGAGAACATTGTATAAGCGCCTGTGCTAACAATTCCGTCTTCAAGAAGGTTTAAAGCACAAGTAGATCGTGATATGTCGATACATTCACACAGAGATTTACCGATAGATGATATAAAGATCACTGTTGAACTATTCTGAAATATGGACTCCGTAAAAAGGGAACACCTCCATGCGGTATATGACGTGTGTATTGCAGCGTTAGTTCCGTGGAAAGGATGCCATCTCAGCCATCTTGATAAATGAATGTCACTTATCCCACAACTTCACTGACGAGGAATTGAAAGTTCCGTTTGCTCACATAGGTAGCCAGACTACGCTCATGGTGCAAAGCTACCAGCCAAATCAAAACAGTTGCAGAACACGAACAAATCTTTCGTCTAACCGAATGCAACTGCTTGTTTCTTAGCATCATGCTGATAATACTGCGGAATATCCGTTATTCCCGGTTTCAGCTTTGTCTGGACAAGCAACATCACTGACCGCGTTTGTAACGTCTCACATTGACAGCTGTCAGTATACTGTATTTTATACCGAATCAAATAAATACTTCATATTAGCTCGTAATTCGACAATGGGGTTTGGTAAAATGCCTACCGCCTAACCCATATTGGAATCGCTAAGCCAAACCTACAGTTAACTGGTCTTTAACCGATTGGTTTTTCGAATGCAGATTGGATAACTGGATCAATATGTTCGGAAGGGAGAGATTATAAACAGAGATTGTATGCATTGGGCAAGAACAAACAGACGTTTTAGATGTTTCCACCACTACACACATCAATATGTTGAGTGGCAATCTAATAGTCTAATAAGAGCATTTTCTGTTCTGCAAAAAGTGAACACTTCGTGTCACTGTGAAAAAATGGCAGGTTAATCGTTACGGGAAGTAGGGATCTTGACGACTAGTCGACTGCCCAAATACATTGGCCCTATTATTGATGGTCACCTGACGGATCTTGGGCAAGAGAAAGCAAAGCATAGACTGTGTAATCGTCATACCATGGCCCTGGAAGCATTGTCTGTACGATTTTGTCGTGCTATATCGCGTTTTATTTGTCAATAAAATTCCGTGCAATGCATAACTTTCATATATCACCTACTTGCAGTTATGTAAGTAAACGAACGATACTGACTTTCCTCACAATATATTGTTTTTGGAAATAAGTGGATATGAGCGGCATGTGATCGAATTAAATTCTACTGCACTAAAGTTGCGCTGTGGATTTCATCAGGTCGATCGGCTTATTGGTACAATTGGTTAGGCGTAGTTAACCACGAGCAGATCGAGAGCAATCCAATCACCTGCACCAAGTCGCCTGTAATATGTATGAATCAGATTTATTTCCTCGAGTCAGTTCGGGATAAATTAAGTTGATAATGATCATCATCGACCATTGTACTACTACCTTTCCCGTTGAACAATCATGAATGATGAACGTGGTCTCGGCCAATCGAAGACTGTCAATCTATGAGTGGTCAAGTTGGGTGGCCGTGATAAGCCTCGAACACACGAACTAAGAGATAATGGAGTGACGGGTCAGATTGCTTGTCCGTCATCAATCCATCCAGATTTGTTTGGTCAGTCGGTCAATCGATTGAAGTCCGTTTCCTTAGTAATCTGTTTTGTGAACTTTGTCACATTCGGCTAGCCTCGATGATGGACGTATTTGTTATTACTCGGCTTGTAAATAGATCCTGTTTAAGAGGGTGATCAATTGGAGCTCCAGTGTTTAGACCATTGACCACCCGGTGGACAAAGTAATTCCTTGTGACTGTGCATATTGTCATGTACACAGTGTCCAAGTATTCTAATGGCAAATGTCGTTTTATGCATCGAGACTTTTATTTCATCTACGGGCCACTGATTCACACAGTGCTTGAACTGCCACAGTATTTTGCACTCCATCCCAACGACACATGTTCTTGCATAAGCCACATTAACAGGGTCATCATTAAGAGGTGTTTGGTCTTGGTACACTATACTGAGTTGTATGATCCTCATAGCTAATTCCAACAAGCTGGATAACTTGGTCGTCGAGAAACCGCGGAGAAAACATCTGCGTTCAGTAGCATTTTACGGGACATATTGTATTTTATACCTGATATAAAATAGGTGCAAAATCATTTTCTGATTTTGTCAGTGAAAGTGAAAACCCACCACTTTCAAGAATTTCGAGTCATTTTAGCAAATCTCGTTTCTCGGTTTTCTGATTGTTCAAAGCGAATAGGTGTTTATTATCTCGGAATGTGCTCATTGATTAAGAACACAAGGTAGCGAACATATGTTTTCGGTGAATTCCTTCTGAAGCCTTTACAATCACATTTATATGAAACATTTTCAATGCGGTCAAACAGAAAAGGTTGATGAGTCATGTGCTTGACCATGAGCCCAAGGTAACTCGGAATTTGGGCGCAGTTTGGATCACATAACTATGTCGTTACGTCATGATGTTACATCATGGTCGTCTGAACAGGCGATTTTCTCTTCCCCTGGCCAGTGGAGTTTGAGAGCTTGAATCAATTTGCGTTTTGTGCGCAGCTCAGGCTTCATGAGTCAGATGCTAATCGCCTCTGCGGTTACTAACGTCCGAAACCGTATTGTTCTCGAGGGGTGTGGTGAGCCTCAATAAATGATTGTAAATGCCGAGCGCATTTCAACCAAGTTATCCGTCTCTACCAGATGAGCAACGATCGAGCTTGACACAGCTACACTCCCACCCTGTGTGAGCCACCGTGGTTTGTGTTCTTTGATCCGTTGAGATAACTGCTTTGTCGTTCGACCTACATAAGGCACACCACAGATGCACTTGATTTTGTAGACAATCATAGATGAGGTCAACAAAGTTAGTTTATCTTTGTTGTAGCATCGGATGTTTGGTGACGTGGAGAACACACATAGCTGAGCGGCATTGAATGTAGATTTCACTACTGAGGATAAAACTCTACTGACCCTCTAAGTGGCGACATCGCCTATGAAAGGAATTTTTACAAAAGCATTTTGTTCTCCGCTTTTGGTATTTTTGTTGACTTATTCTTTTCAGTTTAATTACGGTCGACAAACTTCTCAGGATAGCTATTTTCCAGTAAGGTTGGCCTCACCAGTTCAAGTTCGTCCTTCAAAGTATCTTCTGAACAGATACGCCTTGCCCTCTGCAGGAGACTGCGTGTGAGGTTACGTTTTTGCTGTTTATTATCATCTGATGAGACTTAAAATATCTGGATGTTCTATAAGGCTTATTACGACACACATGTTTTGTGTACCCAACTGGCTACGATTAGGTCAAAGTATTATTCAATACATTTAACAGTAGAAATCCAAATGCGTCCAAATGTTTCTACACGCCAACACTCGATCAGCAAGTCGGTTGGTAGTCAATCTTTCTGTATTGGTAATCATAAACATAAAGCTAGCCAGGATTGTGTTATTCACGAAAGGCCGGAGCTGCAACTCGATTAAATTTTCTACCGAACCCAAACCATTGCCAGTCTATTTGGACTACAGAACGATCAGAAACGCATCTTTGGACAAAGTTACCTATCGTTTCATGTAAACATGGCTCAATTCAATACATGCGTTTGATTCATACATATCAGACAGCTATTTCGGGGCACACCTGTGAGAAGGCGAACGTTTGGCGACGCAAAAATATAGCTTTAGGCGGGCTCCCCAATGCGTATCATGAAATACGGACGCACCATGTGTGACCAATGCGCCTCTTACCACAAAAGTCCTCGAATCTCTGCGCAGCTGTTCCATCCCGCTTGCTAGGAACCACCGTCAACGACCATGTACCACATCTGTTAGAAACGGAACCCAAACAAGAAGGGTTGATCAAATAGCATGTTGTTAAAAAAAAAATTTTTGTAAGTACCATGTGTCAATATTGACCAATGAGTTACCCATATCCTTCCCCTATTTTCGAATAGGATGGATTGAAACCCGCAGCACGTCATGCGAACAAGTGCTACATAGGTTTTATTGATCTGCAATTGTAGCGTAGTCAATGGTAGAAAGAACGTCACCC